TACAAGTAACGATTATGATAGTCTTGCCGCCAACGTTCTTCCTTTTATACAAGTCAATTCCCCCTTTCAGAAATTCAAAATCTCTTCCCCATTTTCTGAGGCAGAAAAACTCTTCTGTTTGTAAAACCATTGTCCCATATTCTAGAAAGTCAGAGATATTCTCTTTACAGAAGCAATAATTTTGTCTTCGAAAACACAAACTTTTCACTGTTTATAAGTCATAATTCTGCATCTGAAACGTGAACGCTTTTCTGACTATAAATCTATAATTCCAAATTTCCGGGACTCCAGCACTCTTCCTTTTAAATAAGCCGCAATTCCTATAGAACTGTACTGAAATATTATTTATTCCTTTTAGACAAGTTATATTTTCGCAGTTCCTGACACACCAAAATATTTCTAGAATATAAAGGTTTTGGCGATGGTGTATAATATTCAGAATCACTGGATTTTCGGACTTTGTCCATCGTCTGGTATCCTAGAGACCAGAAAATACAACGTTTCGAAAATTATATCTGTTCCATTCTCAGGTGAGAGGGAAAAGACACCTCACCTGCTGTTTTGGGTCCCTCAGAAAGAGCTGACCTCAATCACTGATTGAGATTAAGTGTCTTCTCCACTTTATCTGAGGACGGAAACAGATCCAGTTCCCGAAAAGTTATGTTTCCTAGTTTATAGTATATCGGAAGGTGAACAAGTCCAAAACTCGATAATTCTGAGCAAAATGTTTCTGTTCATATAATCCAAAATTCAGTCGTTCTAAGACACTAAGATTCCTCCCGAAACACCAATAGTCATAGCCTTGTTGCATTGTTATGATGGATGAGTAAAAATATACCCACAAATACAATTTTTTCCATGGTTTCCTGCGTGGGAGTGCGGTAACGTCTACTTTAAATGGGATTTTCGTTTGGACAAATTGCAATTTGAAACCTCTGAAGAAAGGCCTCCTAATTTATTAAATTGTAGGGACCTGCCAACGTGCCATAATGGATCTTGTAACTGTCGCCTGCTGAAGACAGAGCTGACAGGCTTCGAGACAAGGCTGCTAATTGTGATATATGAGCTTCACCTCCTTTATCTTATGCATTCAATTAAACTTCCTACGGGCGTCTTAACAGCAGCGTTCCAAATGCAATTTGTGGCCTCCAAACTAATTATCGTTTTAAGCAGTCCTTGTTTAACAAGTCTTTAATATATCTAACCATTTCGCTATATAACTTATTTTGACAGTACCTCCTAGCAGTATCAGCACTGTAACAGTGTGACAGACAAAAGTCGTGCTAATCAGATAAGTAGTCTGTTAGTTTCATGGGGAATTTTTGGAAAAAATTATCTAATAGTGTGGTTGTTACTTGGTAGAAAGTGGCCTGCCTTTGATAGAGGGAAGGTGATGCTATCACTACAAAATATAATAAAAAAAAATTCATGGCTTAAATCCGCAAGCGAACTATACCGACCGAGCGACTGCCGTTTGTCGGTGAAATTAGTGCCAACTTTAGCGGATAGATGATGTCGGGTCGTCAGCACAACAAATCCCCACGGCCGTTAATTTCTTTTATGGATAATAAAAATAAGAAATCTGTATATTTTTATCACATTGCTTCCCCCTGTCGGTCCACATTCAAAGCGTTTTAGTCTGCTCGGACTTAGAATCCTGGTGAAAATTACGTTACACCACTTTAAGGTATACCTGAAAATCGGTATTTTCCTCACGGTTACAAAAACAATGCAGATATCAAGACTGTACTTTTTTTCGAAATATAATCTTTGTTCCCCCGAATTTTCCTTTATAGTATTACATTTTCAAATCATGATAATTATGCGTGTATAAGTTTATATTGTCTGAATACATTAATAATTATTGTTATAAATTTCCCTAAGAGAAGAAAAAGATAGAGGATTTTTATAAGAAAACTTCATAGACTTAAAAGAGACTATATATATGGATAAATACCGTCTTAAGTGCAACAAATTTTATTGTAATTTTTACTTCTTTTCCTCCTCCACACTACATGTTTCGGCCCTAAATGGCCATCATCAGGTGTGTATCACTCACGTAGCTGTTACACTGCTTGTTAAAATTTAAAATTTAAAATTACCAGTCTTTCTAATTGTATAAAATCTTTGTTAATCTACACGCGTCGATTTGATTTTTAAATTAGCACTTTTTAAAACTTAATTCAAGTTAAAATGTCTATAAGATCTCTGTTCTTTCTTTTTCAATTTTTTTTTAGTTAAAATTTTTTCAGGGTACATGCCCTATATCTACGGTGCTGCAGCGGCCACTTCTTGTTTTATCGTTGTTCATGTGTTGTCTGTAATATACAAATATTCCTGTTACTATCTTATGTTATGTCATGTTATGTTATTCTTATATGTTTATACTGTTATTTGTACTTACTCAGTGTAGGCGCTCTCTGTGTGTGTCGCTGCTTATCTTTAATACGTTTGCTGTCTGGTGTACTGTGTGCTGTGTTTTATGTTCGTGAGTGTTGGAGGGGGAATGGGTAGTGGGGGGAGGGAGGTACCGTTAGCTTGTATAGATTTCGTATATAGTTTGAAATATGGGATTGTATGTTTCTATGTGTGTGTCATTCATTTGTAGGCCTTTCTTACTTATTTTATATATATGGTATTTCTCTAATGTATTCAAATGTTTACCCTTTTTTCCCGTTGTTACAACTTCCATTACGTCTGTTATTGTTCCGTATGAATGTCCCGTATTTAGTATGTGATTTGAGTACCCGGAATTGCAATTATTATTTCTAATATCATGTAGATGTTCTTTATATCTAGCGTTAAATGTTCGGCCCGTTTGTCCAATGTATTTCAATGGGCAATCTACACATTTCATTTGGTATATGCCACTTTTATTGTATTTATCTAATTGTGGTTTTTGTTTGAGTATGTTTTCTATTGTGTTACGTGTGCGGAATGCTACTTTTACCTGTGTGCCTTTAAAAAGTTTTGTAATTTGTCTTACTTCTTTTGTACTATATGTAAATATGGCCCACTTTGTTTTTGGTTGTTGTTCGTCGTCATTTGTGTTTGATTTTTGTTCACGTTTTGTCTGATTCGATCTTTTGATTATGTTAGTGTCGTATCCATTGTTATGTAGTATGTTTTTAATAATGTTCTTCTCACTATTAAAAACATACTACATAACAACGGATACGATCTTATAGACATTTTAACTTGAATTAAGTTTTAAAAAGTGCTAATTTAAAAATCAAATCGACGCGTGTAGATTAACAAAGATTTTATACAATTAGAAAGACTGGTAATTGTAAATTTTAAATTTTAACAAGCAGTGTAACAGCTACGTGAGTGATACACACCTGATGATGGCCATTTAGGGCCGAAACATGTAGTGTGGAGGAGGAAAAGAAGTAAAAACTACAATAAAATTTGTTGCACTTAAGACGGTATTTATCCATATATATTGTGTGAGTGTAACAGGATGCTGAAATATAATATTGTAAATATAATATTAAAAGAGACAGTTGAGAAAATTACACGAAGAGGTGTTCCAATGTCGATACTGTTCATCAAATAATATTAGGGCTGAAAGAGATACGGATTGGCCTGGCATTTAGCATGTATGGAAGAGGTGAAGTAACATACAAAATTATGACTTTAACAACTGAAGGGAAGATTCCACTTGGGAAAATTAGGCGTAAACAGGAGTAGGGCATTAGAATATATCTCTAAAAGAACCAAGACGTGAGAATGTTGAATGAATTTACATGTCTCAAGATGGATTCCAATGACTGGCTCATGTCAAGACAGAAATAAGCGTTCAGGTTTCATGGAAGGCGGGGAACTTCTTGACCAGCTAAGATACTGCTAGTTTCTGTGTTCCATGCAGTTATCTAGTTTGCTATTAAGCTAAGTATGGAAGCAATCAAGAATGAGGTAACTTGGACAGCACGATCTAGATTCCTAGCTTGAAATAACTTGTATTAATTTTAGTCAAAAATTTGGGGAAGAAGGAGGCCTCTGTTGATATTCTTTCGAAAAACTCTCCCACTCCGGGCCTCAGACATATCTGACAACGAGTTGGATACTCTGTGTAAGATCACTGTTGTAAAGGTGTTTGTCAATGAAATGCTGTGGTCTTAAATGCAGGATGGACACCGTAGAGCCATGGACAGAGATGTCCTCTTCTGAGTCTTCATCAGCAATTGTAATTTGTGAGGTCGAGGAATTTATTGCTGTTTAGCAACTTTCGTGAAACGAACCTCGTGTTTGTGGTGATGGCTCGAGTAATTAGCAGCTGTTCACAAACAGGTCTTAGCAAAACCTCTATCTCACTCCAGTTTCGGAACTGTGCATTTGTAAATGTAGTGAGCAGAAGAGTTTTGCTGACGCTACGCTTATGTGCTTGTACGTTGAGTTGAAGGGAAGAATTAAACTGAAATATATTTATTTCGGTTCCGCTTGTGAAGGAATGCCTGGCGAGTAGAATTTTTGTCTGCCTGGTGAAATAAGCCAACAATTATTGGTATCTCTTCATAACATAATAGAGACAACCGTCTAAATAAAAACGGCTCAAGCTGAAGACTGCTCGGGGTATAACCTGTGTAACGTTTGTATATTACTGGTGTCGAATTTCTGTAAACACTTCTGTGTGTGTGTGTGTGTGTGTATGTATGTGTGCTTGTGGAAGCAAGGACCAGTTCGTGACTTAAGCGCCCGCTAGATTCATTCCCAGTAGAGAGAGACTGAACATTAAAATTCAGACCCCATTTCAAAACACGTCAAATTTCTCGTAAGTAAAATATGATCATGTGCACCGACGTTATTTGAAGCCAAGAATTATTGCGCTGGCGAGGGCCAATATTAATTGAACCTACCGACTATAAGCACTACCCGGAGAAATTGCCATATTATTTCAGATGGCTTTTACATTCTTTGCAGGAGATAACGAATTGTAAACCCTTCTGAATTTCCGATTTGTGTAACGGAAGAATTTATCATGACAAATGTAATTTCAGCTGTGTGTGAGCCACCGTGCCGTTATGGGGGCCACTGTATCAAGCCGCATGCGTGCCATTGTCCGCCTGGCACCAGTGGATCCTACTGCCAGAACTGTAAGTTGCTCTTTCCTATGCTTACCGATCTGCTACACTGCTACTGCAATGCTAACTTGCTTGCTATGAGTATCATGTCGCTACAGACTGTCCTCCTACTATATGCGTTCAGATATACTTTTTGGTGACGCTAACATAATAGCCGCGCGGGTAGCTGCACACCTGCAATGTTCAATTAATTGTCCTGAAATTCTATGCCATTGTAGAGCGATGTGGGAGCTACGAGAAACCCACAGTTCCCATTCAACTGAATGGCTACAAGTGACTTGAAGAAATGTGTCAATTTGTTTGGAAGTAGATCATAAGCATATCCACAGGTTTTGTACGAAATGCATTTTATACTGTCACGAGTTTAGGTGACTGAAATGCGGGTTTGGATTCGTAATTGAATTTATTAACAACCTACAGTGTGTAACTACAAATAGTTATTACACTCTTATTGGTTTACATAATTTACAATCGCTCTACACAAATCTTCTCAGTATATTTCCACCAGTCTTCACAATCCCCTTCGTGGTAAAGAATTTAAAACACTGAAACTGTAAAAGCCTCACTAAATTACACGTTCCACATGAAGTCCTCTAAATCATACACAAAAGTCTTCACATGTCGACCTCTTGTACTCTCCTGTGGTCCTGGTTCTTTTCGCTCCTCCAGCTTGCGACTGAACTCTGTCACTTTCAAGTCACTTTCACAGCTCTTGTTATATAGCCGCAGCACGGACGGCACAGAAAGCAGTTTCTCTATTGCTGATGTTTGTTAACAGAGCCGTTGCATAGCAATGGTCGCGGCACGGACCATATAGGGAACAAGTCACGTCATTCCTAGCCAGCGTCTTCATTGGTGCGATGTTGCCTAGCAACGCGCAATAACATTCCTTCACCTTGTGTGTATTCGTCCGCAGGGTGTTTACCGGCCCGCTACCCAGCAACGCTCTGGCCGTCCACTTTACAATATGCTGACAACAATGTGAACTTGGTAAATTACTGTATTCAGAGCCTGCACTTGTCTCAATTAAGGCGTAGGAATGGACTACTGAATTGCATAATTGTTGTAGCATATGGACTGAGATTTTGTGAAGCATCGATAATTCTTCAGAGAACCCTTAGATAATTTTTAGAACTCATTACTCGATCACACAATGCTGTTAGTGATTTAAAATCTGCCCTAAACTGCAATGAATTTTAAGGGAAATTCATTTCAATACACCACCATTTGAAGAAGTCTGAGAATCACTGCTTTATTACCTGACAATTGGCGCAGACTTACGCTTATTTTCTGCACTCATGTATGTGCAGTTTCATGCCGGTTCACATGTCTGAACGGCGGCACATGTGTGGGACCTGATCAGTGCGAATGCCCTCGCAACGCAACTGGCACTACTTGCGCCGACCCAGTGTGCGATCCGGCATGTGAGAACGGGGCGACGTGCAGTTCCGGCAATAGATGTCTCTGTGAACCAGGCACCTCTGGAACCAGATGCGAAAAGAGGTAAGTAATTACTTGATTCAATTAACCGTCTATTCTCTCTCTTAATTAAAGAGATAATTTCTTGTAATAAGATTACCGTCATTCAAGAGTTCTGTTACTTAGTCGTGAGAAAGACTCATCCAAGTTTGCTACAAAGGATTCCTTCCACTTTTCTTGGTGATCGTAATGAAAGAGACTGAAATAATTCTTTTCTGTAAAATATAAGAAATTTCCCAGATTTAAGGTTCTCGCAGTCTTGGCTATAAATATGCTATACTTTGCGATATAATGCAGTGTAGTGTGATCGAAATCCACCAAAATTTCGGAGGAAAATACTACGTTCATTATAGGCGTCGAATAGCAAGCCAAGTAAAGGCCAACAAGAAGCAGGCTACAAACACAGCCGGTTTCTTGATTGGCCTACTGTTCGAACCTGCAGAAGGAGGCAGATCCTCTGAAACGTCGGTAAAGTTGTACCGGAATACATGATCCTACAACCCTGACGACAATACTCTGAATGTATTTCCCCTTTTTTACGTACATTTGTGAGGCTTCGAAGTGAGGTTACGTATGACAGAATTCAATCAAACAAAGGAGCTCTAATTATTATTATTATTATTATTATTATTATTATTATTATTATTATTTTAGAATGGGTTCATAGATTCTAACGGCATTCCCTGAAGTACGTGGTTTGACAAATGTAGTTTTCTTTCCAAATTATTTTAAGGAAGAAGCCTGTATTGATGAAGAAATATGGATATACTCGTATGTAAACCGAAAGCGTTTGGCGAGTCTTTGTACTCAGGGAGTCAAACAACTACAGTCCCTTTTCAACAGTCTGAGCTAGAAATTTGCTTCCTCTTAGAAAGAGAGCATTGAAATTACCAAATTAAATAAAATTTATTCACACAAAAGGGGGTGCGGAGAATCTAATTTTTCTTTTTTAGCATGACGTCATGAAGGTGCGCGCAATGGGGAAACAGTAGTCAATTTCCATGTCTTCTTCATTTCAAATGTCATGTCTGTTGCAGTAGGTGTAACAAGAAACTAACTAATTAAGCACTACGCCATGAAGTCCTATAGGGTGGTGGATGCACATTCCCTTGACCTCGGCACTATTTGGAGGTGAGAGGTCAGCTTCACGTCCTTGCCACTTTATCACAGGGGGAAAGTCCCGGTATCTATTGGATAGAGGGTTGGGTGGGTCCCAGAGCCGGTTGGACGATATGGAGAAGAGAAAATTCTGACCCTACCGGGACTCGAACTCCGAATCCCCGGTCGTCCAATCTGTAGGCAGTCGCTATGTCGACTGCGCTACCCCGGCGTAACAACAATACTATTCAGAAGTTGAAACGCGGACAGTTAATTCTACCTCTCATTGAATGCGATGTCTTAATTTCAGATAATGGTCATCAGAACACCCACGCTTATAAGCAACAAATGTAAGGCCCACAGATGAGAAACTATTTAAGTGAATATCACGAATACACATAGATGTTACACGTACTTTTCCATTTATGGTATGAATTCCAGTTTATTGGAATATTTAATGATATTGTTCCAATTACATAGATTATAAAGCTTCGAATGAAGTGGAAATGTTGTAATGAACGGAAAATACATGTAAGATCGGGCGTAGAAAAATAACTTCCTTAAGAGCTAGAAGAAAACAAAAAATAACTACTAACTTATGTTGAGTAACTTGGTTGTAGACGCAACATTCCTTCGAATGGAAATGTAGAGATATCTCTGAACGCGTACCGGTCTGTAGAGTTCATGCATTACAGCATAGCAGCTCAAAATGGCAGCATGTTCACTGCGTCCTGCTTCGGGCACTAGAATAGAATTTGGTTGAATTTATCTGAGGAAATCACCGAGATTCCAGCTAGACCCATACTCCGTGGTCTGTAGTCCGCAAGCGAACTATACCGACCGAGCCACCGCCGCTTGTCGGCGAAGTTCGTGCCAACTTTAGCGAATGGAGCGTGTCGCGTTGTCAGGGCAACAAATCCCCACTGCCGTTAATCTCAGTTTTCTAGACCGGAGCTGTTATTTCTTTGAAATAACTCCTCAATTATCCTCACGAGGCTGAGTGGACCCTGTTCCAGACCCACCACTTCTCAGAAAGTCTGGTAGCGCCAGGAATATAACCCGGGACCTTTGGATCTCTAGCCAGGAACTATGACCACTAGACCACAGATGCGATATTCCAGCTGGATACATAGTAAATACAAGTTTAAAAATTCATCTTTAACTGTAGTGTTGTTATTGTTGACAAACTTTATACTTCTGCAACTTTGGTTGTGACCGCATGACTGTGGCCCGATTTCCACGTTGCGTATGTTGCGTATTTTGCAGGAAATGTGAATACCGCCCTTACCAAGAGCCCTATACAAGGGGATTCCGGCGCCTTGTAAGCAGGCGCTATGAGACCAAATGCGACCCATGGGGCTGGAAGACTTGTGTTCATTACCAGCCAGAGTACCAGACAGTCTACAAGACATTCTACCGCACTGTCTACAAGTGTGCGGACAGTCATCACTAAAAGTGACTCGGTAAGTATGTAGGCTCTGCCGTCAGGAACAGAACCGGTGTGCCAGAGGTTCTGTGGCATTTTAATATATGGGAAGGTTGTCATGAATGGTGAATAGGTAATTTGGAAAGAAGACGTCCCCATTTATAACCTTTCGCTTTGGGGAGGTGATGGAAACCGAGCAAAATCTGGGCCCAGAAAAACAAATAATCCGTTTGAGATTCAAACCGGGTACCTTCCAATAAAAGTCTACAGCGTTACCAGTACACCAGTTACTGACGGTAGAATGTATAATTTTTTATTACCAAAGGGAACTTATCAAATTTTTTGTGCATGGTCTAATTCCTGTTGAATCGAAATAGACCATCGGACCCGCCATACATCAGTTACATACTGCAACTCATGCATTCACCGACTCGTGTAGATAGGTCTATGTAAATTTAATACTGTCCGACAAGTTCTTATAAGTACTTTATGGCAGTTTGGAACTGAATAAATTAAATTTGGTAGTTGTTTTCTAAGGAACATGACCTTTTGGGGCACTAAATATACATCTCTAGCTCACTGTTCGGACCGAAATCCGCACAACATAATCCAAAGCGAAGTCCCTCTTAGAAATACGGTACATAAAAGAATAATGTAACATGTAGACCCGTTGTTAAGTAATGACTCTGTAAACAACGCCCGCTGCTAGGCAACAATTGAGCGGTAATAGAGGAAATGTGTTTTCACTGCAGTCCGTGCCGAGATGTTATAACCAGGGCAATCATTGAGACTGAAGTGCAGTGCAGGGAAGTGAAGAGTTGATTAGTGAGTAAGTGAGCAGGCAGAGAACCACAGTTCAGTTGTTATGAGCTGTTACTGTTACAAGCTGGTAGCTGAGACATGGGGATACTTCGAGAACCCAGAGTAAGTGGGAAGTCCGTCGTTGAAGCCGTTACTAGGTAACGACTAGTTAAGACAAGGCAGACGGAGAAGACTTAGTACGTGCTGCAGTGTCCTGTAGAGTGTGTGAAATGATGATAACAACCAGGAAGTGTTCAGTAAATCCAGTTACCAATCCAAACCCCGTCTATAAAAACTTATACACATTACAACTGATGTCAGAAATGGTTGGATTAGAAACTGCATTGGATAGTGATAATAATAATACAATAGTAAAGCACATGCACAGTGTCAACCTAATCATATAAGTGATATCATCATTTGAATGCACATATGCCAGCCTGTGGCAATCCAAAAAGGAAAATTGTTTACGTAAACTACCTTAAATCCATGCAAAGCAGGTAGATTGAAGTGTAGGTGATAGTACATATATTTTCTGCTATTAATGACCACATGAATAACTTACATGTAAAATTCCTTAGTACCGTAACGATGCGGTAAAAATCTCCTTCAATAATAATAGCCTGTTTTCTGTGCGTTGTCGTGCGGATGAAATATCACGGCAGTTAGAAACAGAACATATGGAAGTGTTTCAGAGTATTTCAGAGTGTTTAAGTGAGAGAGTTCTCGGTGGAAGATAGCCACGGAAATTCGTCGTGTGAAGACGACGTGAGTGATTAGAATAGTTTGTTCATGTGGTGTGATTTGAAGCGCTGATTTCTATGTGGAAATATGTTGCCCGGAGAGGACTAGTGCGTGTGTCACAGTGAATTATGAAATGTGTAAATCAACTATAGCGCTATAAATTAGGTGTGATTAAAAGAGGTTGTAACGAATGTATTAATAAATTCAACGATCCGAACTACAACCCGTCATTTTCGTCACGCGTATCACCCTACACGTGACAATAATAATAATGTCACGTGTATCCTGGTAGCGCGACAGTAAATAATGGGTTTCGGATCTGATAACTCGATTTATTCGATAATTTCCACATCGTAACTATAATTCGTTATTACACCTCAAATTATTACTGAAACAGTAAAGCCTTCACACTTCAATTCTAATCTTCGTTTGTAGCCTCCGGGACTCTGCTGTTGGGTTCTGTCAGTCAGTCCGTTATCTTCGCTACTCTTATAATCTTCTCTTGAACCGTGTAGAAGTCACTAGTCTCTCAGTTGCTTCGAACTCCTCTCAACTCAACTGCTGAACTGCCTTGAACGACGTCTTCTTGACGAATCCTGTCGAACAAGTCAAAGACAAAGTCACGTTGTGACTGATTGTCAGTCAGTCAGTAAGTCTTGGTGTCGAGCCCCATCTGGGGCCCATGACCAGTTATTGATTATTACCGTTTAGCAGTTACGGTCATATTTCTATGGGGCGCCCTCTCTGACGAGAGGACGGGTCTATCTTTTGCATATGCTGATGGTCCTTGCCAGCGCGGTCTTTCTCGGGTCCGAGTCCCTTGGGACTCGAGACCATATTTTACTGTCTCAGATTTGATACTTCCCCTTTCGTCGCCCCCTACCACTCGCACGGTCACGGTGGGGGTATTCGACCCCGCCTCCACACGGGGGTCTGCCGAACAGTTTCATTGCGTCCCATATAACCTCGGCATGAACAATCCACAGAAAACACATCAATTGCTCAGCAACGGATATTATGTATTGTTGTCAGGCGTCTGCACCGATGCGTTGCATGGCAATGGACGTCCTATTGTTGCGCTTTCGTTGCTGTGATATGTGTTTTCCGGTATGTTACCTAGAAAAGTGTTGAGCTATTCCGGCACAATAATAATAATAGTAATCCATTATAAACATGCGTCTTATATTCATAATAATTTGTAACTTGAGAATGTTCTTATAGTTTCAGAAAAATCCTTGTAATAAGAGGACTGGATATAATTTCTGCTCAATGTAGAAGAGAAGGTGCAACCAGCTTCTGTCCATACCCGAATGGAATTGTTAGACAGTGAAGACGACGTTTCTTCAAACAATTTACAATCGATACCAATCATTGATGATTGCAGTGTTACCAACCACAAATACTTGAACTACGTGTTCCACGGTGATGTTCTGTTACACAGCAACGAAACTTAGGGTGAGGACTGATGCTTCGAAGATAGAGGAGACAAAGCATAACTTGGTGGCCATGGCTCTGTAGCACAGTGCTCCATCTTACTCACTACGCGTGTTTTAGCTGGGAGAATACTTAACAGATTCTGGATGATATAGCCGGTACAGCGTTGAGTGTAATTTTGTAGATTGGTACTTTAATTCCCTTTCCTACATAATATTCATACATACGGTGTTCGGAATTAATATTGTCACATTTTACCAACCATCGTATCGCAAAATTTGACTTATATTGACAAGAATTTGCTAAGTTTCAGCAGTACAAATTTTGGCACTTAATTGGAAAAATGGAATTAGTGACAAGTAACGTGTGATTAAAAAATTAATTTAATTCTTACGTTCCTCATAGATATTTGTAAACACTTTGACGAAACTTAATTATTATAAACCTATAGTTGTACCTCATTTGATTCTTCCTAATATTCCTTGAGTTTCGCCGCACGGAATTTTGATTTCGACTTTCTTCCTGCTTCCGAAATATATATTTTGAAATATAAATATCAAAATATCTAGGTGCCAGCTTTTTGTTTTACTAGTTCTAAAGATTTTTTCCGAAATAAATCACCGTTATAGAGAAAATACATTGACTGACCTGCGCCCAGAGTGTATATGGACTGGACACAATATTGTGGTACATACCAAAGACAGAATTACTGGTTTTTCATCAGCTATGATGGAAATTGGGAATTACTTTCTTATGTATGATAAATAAATAAGTGTCTACATTAAGAGCAGGTCCTGTCAGTTCCTCGATCATTACATCTTGCGAATTTTGTATTCGTAGTGTCTCCACCTTTTCAGTCACCGGAGACGAAAATTCTGTTACACAAACCGGAGCAGCATGAATATTTCCTATACATTTAATTGATGGTTTTATACATAATACTTATTATATGCTTTAACAGGAATTTTTAACAAATTTCAAAGAATTATTTCAGAAGGACAAATCAGAAAATATTTTATACGTCCAAGAGCTCTTTACAGATATTATCTGCCAACAGGCATGAACTCGAGTCATGTTAGTCTGAGTTTCTGATGCAACTGTGACACTGTCTCTCTTAACTGACGCTGTGTGACGGTGTGTATTGTTTGAGAATATCCGAGATAATCAAGTAAATCCAATCCAATACGTCTATACTACATTCGTACATTTAACCTCATTTTATAAGCGCGCATGGGACACTCTATTCACGCCATTGCATTGTTATAATAGAATGATGAAAGGACACAATTTCTACACGAAAATCACTCTGAGTTTGAAGAGATTAGTTAAATTAGGGAAGCTAAACGAGAGGTATATCATGGAACCAAAATTTTATACCTTTTTAGACTAAAAGATATTATCCCCACATAATGTATTTGTTTAAATTTATATTTCTATTCCTTTCAAACATTTTAAATGTGTGTATTAGTTCAACTGTGAATGAGAAGTATCTTTCCATCCAAAATGCACCCTACAAATTATTCTGCAGACATTTGCAGAAGTTCACATAACAATATGCCCTTGTTCCTAAGTGAATATTTGTTGATGGTGCCCCACCTCCAAACTTAACCAGGATAATTCTTTCATGCGATATTTGTCTAGTGTCAAGACTCAGCCCCAATATGCAACCATGCAGCAAGTGCATGACGCACTTCTTTATACGCAACAGCTCGGGGTGAATTGCTGGATACACATGACTCTGTCTCCTGACATCTGTTGTCTATGGGTCAGCAAATGAAAGACACAAGTTTGTATTCCAAGGATTGTCTGCAAAACAGGGAGTTTGTTTTTGGAATTCCAAGTGCCGACCCTTGATGCACTAATAATAATATTACTAGTCCAGACGATAGAAACGTTGGCCTATGTCTTTTTGGGGTAGATATTGAAGGCAATCCGACTTGCTACTCAAACACGATCATGAAATTGGGCGTGATACATTGCTAAGTAGTGCAGATAATTGTGGGAGATAGTATCCGCTGTCTGAAGAGTGGCAATATTCCATTTCGAGAACTGGCACTGTTATCCCATTCAGGTGAGTTCCTGTCATTAGAGAGAGTCTTTCTTTTGTTTATATATTCGATACTGGTTCACAGTAACCAGGCATACCTATTTAATATTCATATAATTTTGTTTGCATTCCGACTCATTCAATTAACATTCAAAATAAAAATATGTACCGTATATATCTGCGAAGGTGCTATGGCATGGGCTTGGAAATGAATGTGGAGAAAACAAAAGTAATGAAAATTTCGAGACAACCAACCCCAATCACAATAAAGATAGACCAAAAACAACTGGAGAATGTGAAATGTTTTAAATATTTGGGTAGCTTGTTAACAGATGATGGAAGGTGTACTAGTGAAATTAAATCCAGGATTGCCATGGCAAAAGCTGCATTTAGCAAGAAGAAGAATCTTTTTACCAGCAAATTGGACTTAAATTTGAGGAAGAAACTAGTGAAATGCTACATTTGGAGCATAGCTCTGTATGGGGCTGAAACATGGACACTTAGGGCAGTAGATCAGAAACATCTGGAAAGTTTCGAAATGTGGTGTTGGAGAAGAATGGAGAAGATCAGTTGGACCGATTATGTGAGAAATGAAGAAGTGTTAATTAGAGTCAGTGAGCAGAGGAATATCCTACATGAAATAAGAAAACGGAAGGCTAATTGGATTGGTCATGTTTTACGCAGAAACTGCCTTCTAAAAGAAGCTATCGAAGGAAAGATAGATGGGCGGATAGAAGTGACAAGAAGACGAGGAAGAAGACGTAAGAAGATGCTGGATGACCTTGGGGACAGAAGAGGATACTGTCATTTGAAGGAGAAAGCTCTAGATCGCATTAAGTGGAGGAATTGTTTTGAAAGAGACTGTGGACCTGTCGTCTTGACAGATTACTGATGATGATGATATATCAGCCAATATGACAAGAGGTGAGTTAACTCCTGGAACGTCGTACTGCAGTGAGTAAAGACATTTGGGGGGACAACCTTCTGTCACCCAAAGCACTGAGACCAGCAGTGGGTGAACTGCGCGTCCTGTTTTCACTTCAGCTCTTCCAAAGAGCCATGTCCTACGCTCTAGAGTCATAACCTGTTTCACTCGGGCCCTACTAACTTCTGCTAGCTCTATTAAAGCAGAGCTGACGAATTTAGTTCAGTGCCAGCCAAAGCTGGGGGCCGAGAAATTATATGTACGGTAGGAGGATTCCTGCTGTCCACATTTCCTTCATACAGCGCTATCCCAGAGGTCTATAATATGTATACACAATGTCGCATTTAGTGAATCTCAACCAATGCCCAAAGTATGTACCATATAATAAACAAATTTTATTGTAAATCCTCGAATAACAGATCTAAGATTGCTTAAATCGTTTGCCGGCTTTCACTTCCAAACCGGTTCACAATTACTATGGGCCTATTGTACCAGCCCCAGATGATAGGCGAGGGTGATTGTGGAGCCATTGGTGGAATGAAGATTGGCAGCGGAAACCGAAGTACTCGGAGAAAACCAGCCCCAGCTCCACTTTGTCCACCACAAAACCCACTTGACCAGACCCGGGATCGAACCCGGGCCGCAGCGGTGGAAAGCCAGCAACTAACGGCTTAAGCTATGGCGCGGCCTTAAAAAATTAGATAGAGTGCTTGGTATACTTCTGTACCCTACTCAGAGCTATTGCTCGTATCTGCCGAACGTCATGAAACTTCTGTTGAAGAAATCACCAACGCTTATCTCATATTTGTGCAGCGATCTGCTAAACGTTTGCGTAAGGAATAGGATGAAGATGCTTCTTATAATCCTGTTACGTGCGTACTGTCAACTAATTTTACGGTGAGGGCCTTGCCATAGCTCAGGCGGTTAGTCGCCGGCTTCTGGGGTTCGAGCCCAGGACAGGTAATATGGGATTTGTGATGGATAATGTGGCATCGGGCAGGTTTCCTCCAAGTACTTCGGTTCCTCATGCCAATTGTCATTCCATCGACTGCTCCACGTTCATCATCATCATCATCATCATCATCATCCGGGGACTTTCTCTCAAAGTAGGTAGTGGCCGGGGTACTAATTGGCCTCAGGCTCAGCCCACCCCAAGCAACTGAAAATGACCGTACGGTGGGTACAGGGATCTAGTCAGCCAAGACTGCCCACGATGGCTTCCCGGCGCTTCTTTGGGCACCTCGTTGTCGCTCTGGCCCCCATTTTAAAAAAGTGATGTCAAATTGTTTTTATTTCATTTTCGGTCTCACTGTTTGAACAGCATGTGCGTTTCGTGAGCTGCTTGTCATTCAAATGTGTCTTTAAATTTCTGAAGCTGGCATTAAGCAACAGCAAGACTGATCTCACACTGTGATTCATGCGTGCTACACAGCTCCGGGACTTCTATGCTTAGGGAAGCACCACTGTTCACACACACAAATTCGCGTCGATTTCTATAAAAAATATGAGTACTCACATTTATCTTATGTATTTATTTCCTGTAGATGTCGCACATTGCAGTACTGTCTTCTTATTTTTCTTCTTCTTCCTCTTCCTCTGTCACGGGTATGGCTGTCATTCTTCTGACAACATAGATCCCGTGGACAGTTAGTAGGACTATTTGGATGATAAGACTTACCATATCATGCCCTCTACCTACACAGAACAATACAATACAATACAATACAGAGAATCTCTGATATGCATAAGCCTACCTGCCGTAAATTGGATTCGAAGCAGAGGTCACTGCGTTTAGCATTCACAAAAAAAAGAATAGGAGTATCCTCTATGGCAAATAGCTCATAAATTCGATCCCTTCACAAAATTGAAGCGTACTATGAAAGCGGAGTATAAATAGTGTGCCAAGGCGCGGTATCTTCCTGTAAACTTTTCCCCCACTATGCTTGTGTGGCAGGATGTCTGTAATTAACTCAGAGACTATTCCTGGCTCTTGTATGGGATGAAACATCATCTATCGACGCCACGAATATGTGCAGATAACTGAGGTTACCAGTTGGCTAGAGGTGAATAGCGACCAAGCAGTGAGAGATGAGGCGGTGTTGTAAATGTAGACCTTGACTGTGGAGCTGATTGAACAAACAGCATAGATAAGAGTCCTTCTGGAAAAGTTAATAGTCGCTGAGCTGATAAAAAATTACCACCTTTTATGGAATACAACGGCTTTTACCACGTTCAAAAGATTCTGGCACTTGATATTTTCCTAAGCCTGCTGAATCTAGTCCATACTTTCTCATCCTATGCCTTTAAATCCATCTATTTTCGTTCTACACCTCCAAATCTTGGTCACAAATGTGATATATTAACTTCACTCAATTTCAGGTTTACCAAATAGAAACGCTGTATTGTAATTCTTCATTTCTCCCATTAGTGCTACACGACTCACCCATAACATACCCCTTCATTGTATCTTCTGTAATAATATTTGGTAAATAGAAGAAGTTATTAAGCTGACCGTTATATTTTCCTCCGTTTTTTCCGTGTTATATATTGTGTTCGTCAGCATGCGGTTCGATTTTATGTACACGAATTAATTTAAAATACTTCGAAATAAATTTCCAATAATTATCACAGGATATCCGCGTAAATTTATGACAACTGTTGTTTTAGAAGGAAATTATTTGTACTCTCCTTACTCTCCAATGGCATGTCGCAGATGTCGGAGTGTTCAACGTGAATGAATGAGCCACATATTGTACAACCCTAGAAATATTCAGCGGATTGAATTTACGTGTGTTCTTCTGACACACTTGTCAGAATCTTCCATTTTTCTGTGTCTATTCATTATCTAACATTAATTTAACGCTTACTATTCTTTCCAATCTCACTTTCACCTAAGGTGTACTTCTCTTCAGTATGAACTGCATTTACCTGTTCCGAAAATGAAATGGGTCTATTGAGACGAAGGAAAGCGACGGAAATACTATAAAGAATGAATAACATACAATGTTGCTCTTACTGTGTGTGGACTCATTGTGCGATAATTGCAACGCAACGTCCACATTTATGTAACGAAACAACTTCGAGATATCTAACATTTCTACGTTTTATCGTCCTTAAATCTCTGGGATCGATACATTTTTGGGTCAGACTGTTTCATTAATGGTCACCTGAAAATAAGACAAAAATATTTAATGATGATAACGTAAAGTTGTCAGTAATTCCTGTGTAGTTAACACGTCGATGGTTAGCGTGTAAGTTTTAATTTATTCGTAGAGTCATAATCCTTTTCACCTAAGGTCTCTGAAAAAATTTTCCCAGGCTCACTGAAGACCTTCCGTATCTGATAAAAGAAAATAACTATTTAAGTGTTTATTACTGCAAAACCAAGAGTCATATATGTTTATATTAGAATTAGATTGTAGCAAGAACAGAAACATGTGATCCTACAGAAATAGATGGTCTTGTCAGGTATCTACCCCTTAACTCTCTTGTATTCTCCATCGGAAATAATTGTCATCTATTAGAATGTATTCATAGACTATATGTACGTGTAACGGAAATGTTTTATCAAAAAAATACTGAGAAAGGAAGGTGAGTAAAATGCTATTTTTTGTCATTTGTAAAGAAAACCGTACAACTTTGAAACATATCCAAAGCCTTCTTTTAAGTAATATAGTAATTAAAATGTATTTGTTTTATTCAAATGTAATAGACAACGTAACTGGCGCCATTAATACAGCAGCCTTAGTTTTAAACAGGTTCACTCCGTACTGAACAGAATCATGACAAATGCCATGCGAAGTGCGAGGGGATTACATGACTACTGTAACATTCTATTAATCTAATTAATAAAACATAAATAGCGTTATATACTTCAAATAAATATATATATTAACTTTATACAAAATGTATATAGTAATTGTTCTGTGATTCGTGACCCCATTTTTTTTACGAACACCGAATACATGAACGCAAGAGAGAAATAAATTTTAAAAGAATGCTCGGATACATGACATTTAAAAAAATAATTTTAATTTCTGGGAAGGTAGAAGTTCTAAACAACAGAATAAACGCCGCCCAGTATCCTCAGCCGAGACGGATTTTCAGTATTAACTCCTGAAGGGCTCCATATGGAATTATGCTGTTAAATACCTTAAAAACTTTATAAAAGAGGCAGTATAACAGAGATCATTCAGATCCAATTTTATTTTCGTTGTAAATAATTTAAAAATAAATATTATACCAGATATTA